TTCTAAACTAACACGAGTCTCATTAAGTGTCCAGTTTAAGGGTATTACCCAGAAACATACCAAGGGAACATGAATCAAATATGCACTTTTATTCATTTGCAATAAACTCATAAAGTACATCATTCTTGATTGAAGCTAAGGGCATACAAAACTGTCTAACAATATTATCAATGTAAAAAACAAAAAACCAAAGAACCAAACCTGTCAAAAACTGAAACGATCAACCGATGGTACCAGTTTGATTTTGGTTCGGGGAATTGCAAAAACCAGTATTACTGGTTCAGTTTCAAAAAATAACCCACCCACAATTCAGTTAATGGAATCGTGAGCACCCTAATTTTAAGCCCCAAATCATAAAGAGGCTCTGTGCTTTTGCGCTTTACAAGCAGAAATCCTGAATTTAGTCCAAACGACAACCTTAATTTCTTTTCCTTGTCTGGGACATCTAAATTTGCATTTTCATTCTTGTATATCAATAGGCTATATAACCTTCTATTTATCTTTCAACACTGAAGGATCATCACCCATCTCTTCATCAAAAAGAGCTGGAGACCAGAAGAGTTTTCTTTGTTCAACAATCTGTGACATGTCACCACCAATCCATCTCCAGACTCCACCCAATGACCTGAGATTGACTATGCCTTCTAGGCCTTCCTCTTCTCCTCTTCACGATCAAATCTTGAGCGCAGGACTGGGTCCTGAAGCACAGCATACGCATTTCCAATCAGCTTAAAAAGTATGTCAGCATCCTTATGAACCTCTTTAGCAATTTCTTTCCACAACCCACCATCTCCAATCCCACTTCTACCAAGTAACTGCCCTGCCTTATCTGGGTGATGCCTAAGAGATGCTCTGTGGTAAGCATTCTTTATGTCCATTGCTGTTGCAGATTTTCTGACTCCTAAAATGAGGTACATGTCCAAGGGTACATCTTTCATCGCTTCTTGTTTTATTCTGGAAAGTCTCAGCCGAGCTTCACTTATCTCAATCTCAGTGGCTTTATCCTCTGAATATTTCTTTTGGAGAAGAGATAAATACCTCTGAAGATCATTAATTGCTTGTCTGTAATTTCTAATCATCTCATGTAAGCTAGCTCTTCTATATATCGCCTTTGGGTAATCTCCATCAAGAGCCATTGCTAGGCTGCAATCTGCAATGGCCTCTGCTATCTCCCCCAGAGCTTTGTATGTAGTGGCCCGGTTGCAAATACAGATTGCTGCAAATGGACGTGAGACGTCGTTCCCTGATATAGCACAAGTGTAATGCCTAACTGCATCTGAATACCTTTCTGATTGAAATGCTTCATTTCCTGCAGTCTTGTGCCTTAGTAGCTCACTCACAGTCACACACTTTTCAGTAATAAGGCCTGCTTGTTCTTGCTTCTGAAGTAATTCCAGAGCCTCCTCAAGCTTTCCTAAATAAAAGTATGACTTAGAGATTAGGCGCCACCGCCAGAGCCTCACCGGAGAGATGGCTGAGCTTTTGGTTCCACCAGCGCTTACTGGGATAGAATTTTTCTGTGCTGAATCAAGAGTCTGCTCACACAATTCAATAACATCTTCATACTTTTGCATCTTCAAGAGAGCCTCTGCTTTCATTTCAATTAATTTGTCTGAGTGGTGGCTTATGGAAAGACCCTTTGAGATTACTTCCAGTGCCCTTTCTGCATCCACTGATGTCTTCTCCTGCAAAAGTAGAGCAGTCTGATCCATATAATCAGAGACTTGTACAGCTTTCTGCAAACCATCAAAAGCCTCTGTCACAAGTTTTCTGTCCAAGTGAACACCAAGGCTCGACTGCAACTTCAGTTTCATGAAATATTTTGTTGCTTCTTCAATTTCCCCCAACTCAAGATAACAATTTGCAGCTCTGAGTTGAACCTTGTGAGATTCTGGCTCTAGTGCAAGGGCTGCCATGCAGTCCACTAGTGCCTCTCTCATCCTTCCAAGATGCATCCTTGCTGCAGCACGGTTGCTATAACACAGCACCATAGCTTCAATGCATGCCATGGACTTCTCATTGGGAGAAACACAGTTCAATCCGCTTGTGTAGCATTCCTCTGCTTCTCTTAGATCACCCTTTGCAAAAGCCTGATTGCCCTTGAGTCTCCACTCTGTAAGAATTGCCTCTGGTTCTTTATCTTTTCCAGACATGGTCATCCTTTCGTTTTGGCAAATGGATTAATCTGCTTCCTGGCCCTACCCAGATTGCTAAAAGAAAAAAAAAATGAAACTATTAATTAAATAGAAAAAAAAAACAATAGCAGAGAGAGAAGATCCATTGGAAAGAAAACTCTACATCTAAATCCATTACAGAGTTTCCATTCAAAAACTACTATGGAATTCTAATCAATCCAAAGAAACCATTTTAAGAAGAAAACCATACCGGGATAGGGCCAGCAGCAGCAGCAGGCTGGAACTACCTCAGGAAATCTGGGTCATTACAAATTCTGATGATTCATCAATTAACCAACTGACTGAGAGAAAGGTTTTTGTTGGGGATAGTATCTGATATCATCAAGGTTGATTTTGTATAGAAGTGAGCCCAAATATTGTCTTTTGAACCAAAAACACAGAGATGGCTAGATGACCAGTAACACGTAACCCAAGCAGCTGTGAGAACCTTCGGCTCTACCCCCTGTCACCTACTAGGAAAAAATATATTAGAAGCTGCAAGGAAGGGGATCGAAGAGCCTATGAAGACTTTGACTCAATTTTGTGAAGTCCAGTCTTTCTTTATTCATTTCTCTTCCCTTCACCTACCAAGACTAATCAAAATTAATAAAATTATTTTTCTGATAAAAGATTATAGAATCTAGTTAATATTTTTGCTCTCTTGTGATATAAAGCTGATCGTTAAATTAATGCGCATGTCCTGTAAACCGTCCCAGCAGCTGCCCATGTAGAGCGATTCTGATGGAGGATCAAATGAAAAATCTTAGGCTCAGTACAAATGCAAATATCTACACCGTAAATACATATAAAATAATACAAAATATAAGGTTCTGTACTCTATATATTTGCATTTGTATTCCTTCCAAATTCAGCCTTAAGAAGGGCAACGGGCAGGTTCGGGGTGGGGCACCCCCTCCTCATCCCCACCCCATAGTCAACATACTCTACTCTCTTCCTGCCCCGTAGTCAAGGAACCTCTGAAATTTTCAAATAGGATTATGAGAATTTAGAGGTATTTTAAGAATTGAATTATGATAATTTGGAGATATTTTAGAAATAGAATTATGGGATTTTAAGATTTTAATAATTTGAAAAAAACTTAAAAATTTTTTAAAAATTAATATTAAACCTATGGATATTTTACTAATTTATCATTAGGTTCGGATAATTATATGCAGATTCCATCCTTGCCCCATTCTTGATTCGGGACAAAAATATTTTCCCTCTCCCACCCGTCCCCGTTTATGATAGGAAAAAACCTGCTCAGTTTGGGGCGAGATGGGGTGGGCCCCATAGGCAATCAACTCATCCAGCATGGGTGGAAATCCAACAACTATTTTTAATCTCTGGTTGATCCAGCAATCATCACCTGGCTAAAATTTTGGATTCAACCAAATGAACCAACCAATTGAGCCGTCGACCAGTTGATGTGATCAGTGACAGGTTGTGTATTATTTCTCTTTTTCTGTTTTATTTTTGTAATTTTAGGCATTTCATCATTGTTCTATATTTATTTTACAATGCTTTTTATCTTATTATTTTATTAAAATATAAAAATTGACCCATTTAACCTAGATGATTAAAGTTTTAACTTCATGGACTTTGTTTTCCAAATCTTCGAGCAAAGGGAATTTCGTCTCGCATTTCTCGTACTTGCCATGAAACTGCAATTGTTGACCTTGGGATAAGTAGTAAGAGATATTTTCTAACAATATTGGTTGGTCTAAGCATTCCAGGTTCGACGAGAAGGTTATGCCGATTTGGTTTGGGAATCTTTGAACCATTTCCATGGCCTTCTCTTTCAAACTGTGCCTTTTTAGGACAAAATCGAAATTCCTTGTGCGAATACAGGAAAAGAATTTGTTGAGCACAAAGATGAGATTGATCAGAGTGTCGTGGCTGGAGTGGTTTCTTTCAAGGTTTTTAAAATCAACCCAGAGACTGAACCGGTCAGGGGTCCAGTTTTTGAGTCGAACGGTCAAACTGTCCGAACCGAATGGTCAGCCCATTTTGACAAAAAAAATAAAAAACGGTCAAAATCATTGAATGGTTCAAAAGGTTCAACCACCCAGGTCAGCAGTTTGTTGATCAAACCAACGTTTTTTTGCAAAAATCCGGTTTTGGGGAAAACGGAACCGATCACCTGACCGGTTCCCAGTTTTTCCGGTCCAACCATCTGGTCCTGTCCGGTTTTGAAAACCATGGTTTCGTTAGTTGCAATGTAATATTTAGTTATTTACACTGATGCAAAACTATTGTAGCACAAATTATTTGGGTTCAAATTCTGATTTATTTTTGTTTCAAATTCCACCTTATTTTATTTGATTGCAATACAAATGAAATAAAATAAGACCCGAAGTGGAATAAAACAAAACCAAAAATAAAATCAAACCAGAATTTATATTCCTATACATTTGTACTAGTACAGATACAAACAGTGAACTAAGGCTCAGTTTGAAAGAATATACAAATATAGATATATACAGTGTAAAACCTTGTATAATATACTGTATATATTTATATTTGTATTCTTCTCAAATTGAACTTAAATGAAGCAGCCCAAAGAGGAATTCACATCTGCTACCTACAAAGGCGCACCCCACAACGTCCCACAGCACATCCCTGTTAATATTGGGAACATCTCCCGATGATAGTACCAGAAATGATGATATCATCATTGAGAGATGTTTTCAATACACGGCGAAAACGTACTGTGGGACGTTGTGAGGTGCAAATTTGAACTCCCCAAAGAGGTATTTCCTCTCTGGTACAAAGGAACCAAGGGGCCATTTGCGGGGCTGAAGCTTTAATTGAGAGGGCTTTCACTGAGCGCTACTTTTAGAGAAGGTACTAAAAGAAGCTTCAAAGAAAAGCCAAAGTTCTAGCCGAAAGACAGTTATATATTTTGGACTTCCAGAAGTTTCCACCAAATATAATTTACGGGCTGTCTGAATGGGATCCACCGTTGAGATCTTTTTGCAACAAAACACGTTCACCATAAAACTGAGTCCAACCATAAAAGTGAGACCTGCTATATATGAGATGTGCGGTGTAAAACCATATTGGTAAAACGTGTTTTATTAACAGGTGATCAGGACCGAGCCGGTGCCTGTGGAAAAGCCCCCAAAGGGGCATTGCATGGTTATTATACAAGCTCTGGAGTGTAGGAGGCATTATTATACTCACAAGAAAGTAGGAAACATGCAGGAGGTTAGTAATTGCTAAGACACGAGGGATTGGTGTCTATGTTCCACACTTTATTTTTATTCTTTATAATTTTAAATAATATATTTGTTTTTATTATTTAAATTATACTTATTTACTAATTAAATACAAAGTTCTTTTTTTTTGGTAATTGGTCCATGTGATATGTGATGCATGGGAATATCTGATATCCAATATGATGAAATAAATTACAAATTAATGTAAGACAACAATAATGTATTTCAAATTTCAAATTAAGGTAATTGAATATGAATTTAACTATATCCAAATTGGATCCGATTATTGAAATGCCAAATTTGGACCCGATTTGGAATCAGATGCAAGTTTTAACATCCAAGTCCAAGTTGAATTCAGCCACATCCAAATTTGATCAAATTATAGAAATTTCAAGTCTAAATGCAATTGGAGTCTGATTGTATTTTGAATTAGATTCAAATATTTAATTTGGTTACACTCTATTATCATTAAAGTACATTATATATAGATAGATAGATAGATCTATACTACTTTAAAAAATACGAATAGCTATAAAAATATTTCTGGAATTTTTTCAAGACAAAATTTATCCCTCTATATTTAAATTTATTGATAAAACAAGAGGGCAAATAGGGTAATTAGTTATTGATATTAAATGAGTTGAAAAAGGTAATATGAAAATATTCAATGCATTGAATTCTCTCTCATTAAATCCAACATTTAAGTTATTAACTTGCATTTACCTTCATTGAATCATATATTTAAGCCATTTTTGTTTCTCCTGGTCATTAAATTCTATTAGTTAAATCCATATATAATAAATTAATAATTTTAATAATATAAGAACATATACTTTTAAAATACACCTAAAAATAGTGCTTTTCATCTAGATGGTGGTAAGAAATTAAACCATTTTGAGCTAAATGGGCTAATCCATTTTTCCATAATTAAATGATAAAATAAAAAAATAGATAAAATGCAAAAAATGTTGAAAATAAATAAAAAATTGGGAACACTTTTATCATAATATATTCAACATATTAAATAATAATAAGTATGATAAATAAGAAATATTTTAATTAGTGATGGAAATGGAATATAAAATTTAAAACCGATTGGAAATAAAACTATTTTTCATATTCTCTCTCATTAAATCCCATATTTAAGGTATATTCACTCATTAATTCAAATGTTTAAGATCTCATAATTAAATTTTACTAATTAAATCCATAATATTAATTTTAACAGCATAAAAATAAATATTTTGAAAAGTAATTTGACAATTTTCTTCCCTCTTTGTTGGGGATAAGAAATTTAACCATTTGGGTCAATGGTTAACTGATAATGCCATAATTAAATAATAAATTAAAATAAATAAAATATCAAAATACAAAAAAAAAGAATTGGGTATATCTCTAATATTATATATTCGTTATATTAAACAAAAATAATTATTATATGTAAGAAGTAATTTTATTAATGATGAAAATGGAATGTCAAATCTAAAATCAACCCAGAAAATAATGGCATAATCAAATAAGAAAATATTTAGAAAAAAATACAAAAAATCACACAAATAAAGAAAAATTAGAAAAAAAAATTGGGGCACTTTTTTGTTGCTATATATTTATAAAAAATAAAAATATTGGGTACATTTCTAATATTATACATTCATTATATTAAAAACAAATAAGTATTATACATAAGAAATAATTTCATCAGTGATGAAAATATAATACAAAATTTAATGTTGACCAAGAAATCAAACTATTTTTCTATTTAGGTGGTAGGTTAGTGATTTGGGTCAAATGGATTAATCGATGATATGATTGTTAAATAATAAATCTTTAAAAATTGTTAAGCCAAATCATTAATGTTTATTCTTAAATGCAAAATATGAATTAACAAATCTATTATATAATAATTATACTCGGTTGGAAAAAATAATTTTAAGTAAATATTTAAATAATTACAAATTTAGTTATTATTATTACTATATAACAAAAATTTTAAATTAAATACTAAAATAAATTAATAATAATAAGAAGAATGGTTAAATTAAAGTAATAAATGGTTCAAGTTGAATTTAATGACCCATATAATTTTACAAGTTTTACATATAAGGGTCAATTTATGTGGACCCGTAGACTGTATGAATGTCTTAAAAAGTGGCAATTTATACATAGTAATAAAAAATGGTAATAAAATCATTAAAGTTTATTCATATATATATAATTAACTTTCCCGTACTTAGTA